GCTGGTTCATAGATTCTGGGTTAAGAACTCTCATCTTGGGACAGAAACTGCCCAAATATTCGATGTTCCATTTCTTCGGTCTGGTAACTCCTGAAGATCAAAGGCTCTCTAAAGACACTGGTGGTAAAGGCTAGAGCCTAGAAGGCAGCCTTAACAAGCATGGATCTGATTCACAAATGAGGGCCATGGGGGTGATAGAACATAAAGAGAACTTTAATTAGCCAACTCTGGGTTTGTTCTCTTTTTTATTTTTTATTTTTATTTTTTGGCATTGAGGATTGAACCCAGGGCACTTAACCAATGAGCCATATCACCGGCCTGAAAATGTTTTAAAATTATTTCTTTATTTTGAGACAGCTCTTCCTAAGTTGCTTAAGGCCTCGTTAAAGTTGCTGAGGCTGACTTTGAACTTGCTGCCTCAGGCTGCCAAGCCACTGGGATTCCAGGCATGTCCCAGTGTGCGTGGCCCTTCTCTTTTTTTAACTTAAATTTTCTCCAGGTTTATTGAGGTGAGGTCTGGTTGACACAAATTCGACATATTTATGGTATAAAAACATGAAGTTTATGATACACAATTTATGTTTACACTGTGAAATGATCACTGTAGTTATGCTAATGAACATCTCCATCAATTCACATGGCTACCTTTATTTCCTATAGTGAGAAGACAAGATTGATGTCCTTTCCAAAATTCAAGTACATAATACACTATTATTAACTATAGTCCCTGTTCTGTACATTAAGTCTCCAGTAATTTTTCTTCTTATTACTGAAATTTTTACTTTTAACAATATTTCTCCTTTTCTGCCACTTCTCATCCCCTGATAACCATATTCTACTCTTATTATGGATTCAGCATTTTTTTTAGATTCCACTTATAAGTGAGATCATAGCAATATTTTTCTTTCTGTGTCTGTCTTGGTTCACTTTGGCACAATGTTTTCAAGTTTTATTTTGGGGGGGAGTGGGTACCATGGATTGAACTCAGGGGCACTCAGCCACTGAGCCACATCCCCAGCCCTTTTTTAATTTTATTTAGAGACAGGGTCTCACTGAGTTGCTTAGCGCCTCACTGTTGCTGAGGCTGGCTTTGAACTCGTGATCCTCCTGTCTCAGTCTCCTGAGTCACTGGGATTATAGGTGTGTGCTACCACATCTGGCTATCTCATTTATTTTTAACAAATGTCACTACTATTGTCCCCACTTTACAGACAAGGAAACTGAGGTAAAGTATTGCTTTAGTTGCTTGCCTAAGATAAGTAGGAGATTTTCTCTCTTACTGGGCACAGTAGGCCATGCATGTAATCCCAGCTACTTGGGAGGCTGAAGCAAGAGAATCACAAGTTCAAGGCCAACCTTGGCAAGTTAATAAGACCCTGTCTCAAAATCAAAAATAAAAACGGTTGGGGAAGCAGTTTAGTGGTAAAGCACCCCAGGGTCGATCCAAAAACAAAAAAGTGGCAAAGTCAGCACTTGATCCCAAGTCAAATTAAATAAGCAAAATTTACTAATCAATAAGTTAGTTAAAGAAACTGAATCCTAGAGGCAATATTGATCTAAGTAGTATCATGCATATATGCTTATATTTTAGATATATAGTTATCTCATTGCTTGGCACAATTCATATACATTGAATTCTGCACTCAAAAACTTATCCCATACTGATCCTAGGATGGGAAGAAACAGATCTGCTCTGGAAGATAACTTACTGAAATCTAACTGAACTTCATGAAGTGTTCTGGGAAGAAGATTATATATGATATGAAAAAAATAGCAATTTATTTAGTGCAATTATTTGCCTATAGACATTTTTAAAGGGTAGTATATTCTGTCTTCATATGATCTAAAGAATTAAAGCATACCAAACAGGAAAGAAAAGGAAGAGTCTGCAATTGAATATCAAGGCACAATATTTTGCCAGAAGTAATGAAGGTAGAGTACACACTAAATCTATGCCAAGTTTCAGAGATTTCATTAGGTAATTGCCTTTTTTTTTTTTTTACTTACATAGGCAAAATAGATTCTGCAGTTACCGGTTGCATTAAATGCATCAAATAAACTTACCAAAATTGATACTATAAGGTGAAACATTAAGTTCCTGGGTTGCAACTGTGTATAATTTTAAAATAGCTTTTACAATGTATTGATTTATTTGAAGGTGACAGGGGCTGGGTTTGTAACTCAGTGGTAGGGCACTTGCCTAGCATGGTACTGTTTTAAAAAAGGAAAGAAACATGATGTAAGGAAGAGATTAAATACCTTTCAAATTTTAAGTGGTATCATGCGAGTGATATTTAGAGCACGTCACAAGGTTCCTGCTTGATCATAGTGTATTTATTGATGTGTATTGTGGATATAATTAGTCAATGCTACCTTATTACTTTGGATATTGATGGATCTTGCTTTATATACCAGAAAGATGATGAATAATTTTTTTTCTGGTGCTAGGGTTTGAACCTTGAGCTCCCTATGTGCTAAATACATGCTCTACTATTGAGCTACACCCCAAGCGCCAAAGTTCATGATTTTAATGATCTTTCTGGGATGTAACTGAACTGAGGTGGAGTAAGAATTCAAAGTTTTCATTTTATTCCAGAATGGTTCACTGATTACTACAACACTTGGCCTGTAGTTGATGCTTAACACGTTGATTGTATGAAAGGATGAGAAAACATATTTGGAACTCTGACTCACACTGAAAAAAATCTCAAGAGACCATCTTATCAGAGCAAGATGTTATATTGGGAAACACACCTTCCACAACCATGGAACATGGATTGACTGTTCAGTGCATTCTGTCCTCAAAAAGAAAGATTACTTAGGAAATCTCAAATGTTATTTCCATTCTACAATAACAAAGAAAAGGCATCAGGTAACATGATCTGGGATTAGAATCGTGTTCTACTATCCTAATGTAGCCATCTCTATTCCAAGGGTGTTTCTTTCCAGGATTTATACATATCATCTTATTTGGGAAAGGTAAGTCCCCAGCCATGTACTCAACCATTCTCAGCATTTGCCTGGTCTTTCAGTAGATTCTCTTTTAGTCACTCTGAAGTAACCTTAATACTGACATAGCCCTAGCTTTATTACCTTGGAAACTGATGTCTTCTTGTGGAGATTTTAGAGAGTACCTTATGCTCAGAAGCTAGAAGATATCTTAGTCCCATCCCTAGCTCACTGGAAATATTACCATTTAAAATTGTTCAATGGGTACCTGTGGCAAAGTGTGCTGGTTCCTCACCCATATCTGGTCCCCCTCCCCTTTCACAATAATATGGCATATAGGATTTAACTGACACATGACTGCCCACAATAAAGACATTTGTCAGTCTCCTTCATAGCTAGGTATGACTGTGCAACACATACAGAAGGATGACTTTTTGTTAATGGGAGGTATAGGGATGTGCCGTGGCTATTGGTGAATTGTCCTTTAAATGGAAGGGATAAGCTCCCCCACCGGTCCTCTTTCACCCCTCTCATTGGCTGGAATGAAGATAAGTGGTGAGCCAATCGGACCATGAAGATGAGGCTGCGTTAGTGGGTAGATGGAGCTGTACAACAGAAGCAAGCTGAGCTAAGTGCAGTGGTGCACACCTGTAATCCCAGCAACTCAGGAGGCTGAGGAAGAAGGCTCACAAGTTCAAGGCCAACATGCACAGCTTAGCAAGACTCTGTCTCAAAATACAAAATAAAAGGGGCTGAAGATGTTGCTCAATGGTAAGTGCTTTCCTAGCATGCACAAGTCCTGGGGTTCAATCCCCAGTGCCACACACACACACACAAAAAAAAAAAAAATTGAAGAAGAAGAAAGAGGACAGCCTGTATCCCTGACAACCTTGAAGAATAGAGTCACCATAGCAGTTCAGACTCTGATCTGTGAAAAAAATGAACTCCTATCTTAAGCCAACATTATTTGGGATATTTGATTTGCAGAAGCTACAATGATATTCTAATACTGTACACAAAACCTTATTTCTACTGATGACTGTCCTCATGTATGTTATTCATAAAGGGTAACTTTAAGTTTGACTGGAAGATTGGGTCAACAGATAATGCATTGAGCACCCACCTGGGCATCAAGCTGGGAGAACATGTTGTTCTCTCTGTTCACTATTAACATCTGCTGAACAGACTTGGTACAAAGATTAGAGGTAAGTGATTATAATAATGTACGTGACGTTGCCTAGAGCAACAATAGGTACATAACAAGTATTTAATAAAGTTTTTATGATGAAACTAACTTTGACTTTTTCTGTTTTTGATTCTCAAATATAAGCTAGTACCCATGAAAATATTATACTAACATTTCTTATTATAAGTATATCTCTGAATTATCTATCAATGCCAGTTAGTGGAAAAGAATAATTAGGTATACAAAAACTTTGGTTAAAAGGCATTTGTGTGATGTATCTGAACTAGTCAGAACTGTGTTACAATAAATAGGCATCCCAGCTAATTTTGGGTATGATATCAACAAGGACTCTTCTATTCTTCCTTCATGCCATCTTTTCCTTGAATATGTTAAATAATGCAGTTGTCCCTTAGTACCTGTGGGGGGATTGGTTTCAGGACCCTCTAGAGATACCAAAATCTGCAGATACTCAAGTTTCTTGTATAAAATAATGTAGGGAAACCAATGGAGGGTGGAAATTAGACAGGGGAAGGGAAGTGGGGGGTAATAAAATAAAACAAATTATGCTATGTATAGGTACAAATATATCACAATGAAGCCCATTTTTGTATATAATTATAATTCACCAATAAAATATTTTTTAAAATACTGTAGTATCTGCATATACCTATGCACAACCTCCTGAATACTATAAATTGTATATAAATTACTTATAATACAAACTAAAATGTAAATGCTATGCAAATAGTTGTTACACTGTATTGTTTAGTGGATGATAACAAGAAAGCAGTCTACATGTTAATACACATGCAGTTTTCAATTGACAGGCAAAATTGCACATATTTATAGGGGGCCGTGTATTTTTTTTAATATGGAATACTTCATGAATTTGCATGTCATTCTTGTGCAGGGGTCATGTTAATCTTCTCTGTGTTGTTTCAATTTTAGTATATGTGCTGGCAAAGCGAGCACCCATGTAATGTTTTGATGGATGTATATATATATGCATGTGTAATGTTTAAGTTAGGTTTAAGTATATCTATCTCCTCAAACATTTATCATTTCTTTGCACTGAAAACAAAGTTTTTTTTCTTCTCTCTTTTTAAAAATATATGATACATTAGCATTATCTATTAGTCAGGCAATCAGAGAAACTTTACCTCCAAAAGCAGTGGTCTATTGAGCTTCTCTGTGTGAAGCACTGTTGCTGCTCTAGGTGACAAGTGTAATGTCAGCATCAATGCCAGACCCAGTGCATCACTACAAGGACCTTCACCACCGTCTGTGAAACCTGCCCATCTCTCTCCCAGCCTCTCCAGAATGGATTCCAAGCAGTGCTTCCTTCATGTCATCTTCTTCTAAATTGAACTATATTCAAATTATGATTGAGTTTATCTGTTAGGGAGACTCTAAGGCATACCCTTGTAGCCTAGTGGCAAGGGAAGCTGCGAAGGCAGATTTCTATTTTATTCTTTGAGAAAAAAAAATGTGGACTGTAAGGGTAAAGGTGTGACTTGACAAAGGGAGAGGGATCAGTGATATTGCAAATTGTTAAATTTTGCTGGATGCGGTGGCACCTCCTTATAATCCGAGGAACTCCAGGAGGCTGAAGCAAGAAGATCACAGGTTCAAGGCCAGCCTCATAATGTAGTAAGATCTTGTCTCAAACTAAAAAATAAAAACAGCTGGAATTGTAGCTCAGTGATAAAGTGCCCTCTGCCCTGGCTCAATCTCTAGTGCTGCAGGAAAAAAAAAAATGTTAGATTTCCACTCCAGGGACCACATAATCTAACTCCCTGCTGCTTTACATAGAAAAGGACTTTCCTAGTATCACACAATTATCAGTGACAGAGCTGATTCTGAGAATCACGTGTGCTTTCAACACTCTTTCTACCAATAGGCATTGTTTTCCATCACTCAACTGTATCATGTGGGACATTCAGACAAGATGCAGTCAGTTGGGAAAGAAATCAATGAAAAGCTGCTATTTCTTCTGTTATCCACTCAATATATATTTAATGAGCATCTAATACATTCTAGGCACTGATAAACAATGTTCAGTCTAGTGAGGTTAATAGGTAAGTAAACAGACAATTTCAATACAATGTTAGAAATGCTGTAGTAGAGAAGCATGGTTAGCTATTTTTCCTTCAGAAAAATTAAACGAAATTCCTCATTCCTTGAATTTAAACTTGGTTTTTAATTCAAGGAGCTCAAGAGATCTAGCTCACAGATAATTTTCAGATTTAGGTCCATCAAGGTTCTGTGGATTGCCCAAGGTTGCTAACCCTCCATTAGGCATACCTCACTGGAACCCATTCTTTATTGTATGGTTGGCCTCTGGAGGTCCTGTTTCTTCACCTGTGAAATGATTCATTTGCTCTGAGGATTGAACAATATAATATCTTCATCGAGGTACCTCTGGTTGTTACTAACAGATACCTACCTGAGCTAGCTTAATCAGTAGAAGAATATTATGTGGTATGTGAAGTTTCATGGAACACAAAGTCCCAGTAAGAAAAATCGTGATTTCAGGAGGGACTGAAGCCATGAACTGGGAAGTTATCAGGAATCAGGGAATTTCTCTCTCCCTTTCTTTTCCCAATTACTCTCTTGGTTTATGTGGTCTTTCATATCTCAACATTCGCCTGAATTCTCTTTATAATCCCAATTTCCATTTCCACAAACGTGACAAAATACAGTTTCCCAACATGGATTCGATTTACAAATCCTGGGTTTTGTGACTGATATAGATTGACTAGCATCTCTGAATTCCAATTCCAGATTCTCAGTGAGGGCAATGTGAAAGGCAGCCAAGGCAAGATGGCGAGTGAGGAAGTCTGGGGCAGGGCCAGACCAGAGAAGCATGGAGAGGGTCTTTCAATGAGGTCAACTTCCTTGTTGGCAAAAGTGCTCCTGGACACAAGAGGGGGACCCATACACTTCCATATTCATGCTTTCAAGCAGGGGATCCAATAGAAAAACTAAAACAGACATGTGGACAGAGGGGGCACCAATGAATAATAGTGAGGAGCTCATGGGCAAGGGAGAAGATAAGGAAAGAAGGAAATTCCAGAGATCATAAAAAGAACAGGCCCAAACTCCCCCACCAGAGTTCCAGCTTTGGGCCTTCTTCTCTTTGGAAAAGTCTATCTCTGTATCTCTGTTGCTTTTGCAATAAACCTGCTACTTACTTGCTATCTCTGTGTCCTGTTATTCAATTCTTTCTTTGCTGAATGGAAACAATGAACCCAGCACTCCTAGACAGTAATATCAGGATGGAATCTGGTTGCCCTGGCTTGGATCAGGGGTTCTGTGTAATTCCATCAGTTTGGCCCAGACGGCAGGGTTACAACATGGCTCCTGGGAGGGGGGGGATCCAGTTTTTGGAGAAGGAAGATTGACAACTTGGCAGACCCCTCAAAATGGTTACTGTAAGAGAGGGCATTGAAAAATATAAATAGTGGATGATATCAATAATTGCCATATTTCTCTCTCTCTCTCTCTCTCTCCTCTCTCCTCTCTCCCTCTCTCTCTTCTCTCTCTTCTTTCCCTTTCTTTCTCTCTCTCCCCTTCTCTCACTCCTCTCTCTTCTCTCTCTTCCTCTCTTTCTCTCTCTCCCCCCTCTCTCTTTTCTTTCTCCCTCCTCTCTCTTTCTCCCTCTGTCTCTCCTCTCTTCTCTCCCTCTCTCTTTCTCTCTCCCCCCTCTCGCACTCCTCTCTCTCCCTCTCTTTTCCTCTCTCTCCCCCTCCTCTCTCTTCTCTCTCTCCCTCCTCTCTCTTTCTTCCTCTGTCTCTCCTCTCTCTTCTCTCCCCCCTCTCTCCCCCCTCTCTCACTCCTCTCTCTTCTCTCTTTCCCTCTCTCCCCCTCTCACTTCTCTCTCTCTCTCTCTCTCTCTCTCTCTCTCTCTCTCTCTCTCTCTCTCTCTCCTGGTAGTAATAGATTCCATTCTTTGGGCCATAAAGGTGGTAGGCACATGAATCAAGTTGGATTGATACCTTAGCCAAGCTCACATATGCTCAGTTCTGTGGTTTAGCATCTTCTTCATATCCTTTCCCCTCTCTATATTCTGGAATCCAACACTTCCAATTCCTCTAGGTTTTATCTGGAATTTTGTGTGTTTAAAATCTGATATACATGATTACAAGATTTCATGTTATTTTCTGACTCTGAGCCATGTCCATAATGAAAAATTCAGGAATGTTTTCTGAGAAGTATCTGGGTCACCAGATGGAGATATAAACCTTTCCCAGAAATCCCCTATCTGACTTCCCCTAATACTTCAGTAGCCCAAACTAAGAGAAATCACTTGCAAAAGAGAAGAGTATGGCTCCTTCCCCAGTGCTGGCCTACATTATCTGAGACCAATATTTCTTAGCCAGGTGTGGTGGTGTATGCCTGCAATCCCAGCTACTCAGGAAGCTGAGACAGGAGGATTGCAAGTTTGAGGCCAGCTTCAGCAACTTAGTGAGTCTCTCAGCACTTTAGGGAGACCCTGTCTCAAAACTGAAAGAAGGACTGAAGATGTTGATCAGTGGTAAAGCACTCCTTTGCGCAATCCCCAGTACCAAAGGAAAAAGGGAAAGGTGGAGGGGGGTCCGGAGATAGATAGATAGATAGATAGATAGATAGATAGATAGATATTGATTTCTGCTAGACATTTTATCAGTAAGAGGGTTTCTGTTATTAAGAAGATATGATTGGGTTATTTGTTTTTTTTTTTTTTGGTGTTTGTCTTGGTGAGCTCTTTATATGTCCTAGAGATTAGATCTCTAACTGATGTGTGAGGGGTAAAAATTTGCTCCCAGAATGTCGGCTCTCTGTTCACCTCACAGATTGTTTTATTTGCTGAGAAAAAACTTTCTAGTTTGAATCCATCCCATTTATTGATTCTTCGTTTTAATTCTTATGCTATAGAAGTCTTATGAAAGAAGTTGGGGCCTAATCCCACATGAAGAAGATTAGGGCCTACATTTTCTTATATCAGATGCAGAGTCTCTGGTTTAATTCCTAGATCCTTGATCCACTTTGAGTTGAGTTTTGTGCATGGTAAGAGATAGTGGTTTAATTTCATTTTGTTGCATATGGGTTTCCAGTTTTACCAGCACCATTTGTTGAAGAGGCTATCTTTTCTCCAGTGCATTTTTTTGGCACCTTTGTCTAATATAAGATAATTGTAATTTTGTGAGTTAGTCTCTCTGTCCTCTATTCTATACCATTGGTCTACTGGCCTGTTTTGGTGCCAATACCATGCTGTTTTTGTTACTATTGCTCTGTAGTATAGTTTAAGGTCTGGTATAGTGATACCACCTGCTTCACTCTTCCTGCTTAGAATTGCTGTAGCTATTCTGGGTCTCTTATTTTTACGTGAAACACTGTGCTCTATATGTGTAATAAGAATTGTAATGCATTCCACTGTTGTTGTTTATTTTAAAAAAATAATAATAAAATAAAAATACATAAAATAAAATAACTTATTTCATAAGTTTTCACACATTTCCAGAGTGGATTAATGTACCAAGATAATATGTTAACTAAATGATTTTAAATTTAAATTTTGCAATAAAGAGAACTTCAAAATAAAAAAAATAAATAAAAAGAAGATATGATAATGCTTTCTCAAATTGTCTATATGCAAACTGTGAGTTCCAGGAGGGTACAGGCTTCTTGTGAGTTACTCCATCTCATTTTGACTTCCTTCAACTTGGAGGCATTCTCCTCTATCCTTTAATTTCCTTCCTCAGTCATCCTGTTGCATAACATTGAACTAATATATGGCTTATCGCTCACTTCCTAGAGAGGACAAATGTCTGACACACTTCAGCTCTGGTTAAAGGAATGCATGTGGCAAATAGGATAAATAAATAGTTTGAAGTCACTTTTTGCATTACCTGCCTACATTCTTGCAAGCAGAAATAGATGTGAAATATTTAAAATGCATGACCACATAGGATAGCAGGAGCGGGGCTCCA